ATCGACCTACGGCGACGCTGCATTTCCTTTTCGACAGTCAACGCTACGTCAAGGGACTCCAACCGCCGTACAACCGCCCTCCGTGTTTCCGACGACAGTGTCACAATACCACCTCGTGCAAGTATCCTAATTCAGGTGACTTCCGAAGGAACCAGTGACGGTGAAACAGTGGCAGAGTGCAACGTCTCCCTGCTGCTGGCGCTTGGAATTTCTGTGGCACGAGGCATCATTGACATTCGGAACGGTACAGCCGAGGTCATGATTACAAATTTCACCAATGAGCATCGTCACCTTTTCCGGGGCACTGCGGTCGCCTACGCTGAAGCCTTGGAGGACGTCATTGAGTGTTTTGCCTGTGAAGACAGTAGCCGCAATGGACAAACCGTAATAGATGTTGACATGAACAGTGCACTGCCAGAAGAGAACCAGAGGGCCTTGCGAGAGCTATTGTTTGAATTCAGGGCGTGCTTTGCTCAGTCGTCTAAAGTGAGTCAGACGCCAATTACACAGCACAGGATAATCACTTACGACGACGCAAGACCTATTCACCAACAGCCATACCGCGTCTCGCCGACAGAACGCGCAGCTATCAAGCAGCAAGTGAAAGAAATGATCGACGACGGCGTTATCCAGCCTTCGAACAGTCCCTGGTCCTCACCGGTCGTTCTGGTTAAGAAGAAGGACGGTACGCTTCGCTTCTGTGTAGATTACAGAAAGCTCAACAACGTCACAAAAAAAGATGTTTATCCGCTGCCGCGTATTGATGACTCGCTTGACCGACTACGACGAGCGAAGTATTTTTCTTCCCTGGATTTAAAGAGTGGCTACTGGCAAATTGAGGTTGATGAGCGCGACCGCGAAAAAACCGCCTTTGTCACGCCGGATGGCCTCTACGAATTTCGGGTGCTACCGTTCGGACTCTGCTCTGCGCCAGCTACCTTCCAACGCATGATGGACACTGTGTTGACTGACTTAAAATGGCAAAGCTGCCTTGTGTACTTGGATGATGTGGTCGTGTTTTCAACCAGCTTCTCCGAACATCTGAAGCGACTACGACAAGTACTTGAGGCGATTCGGACGGCTAACCTTACGTTAAAGCCGCAAAAATGCCATTTCGGTTACGAAGAACTAAAGTTCCTTGGACATGTCGTAAGCGCAGAAGGCGTCCGTCCTGACCCTGAGAAAACCGCCGCTGTCGCAGCATTCCCGACATCTGCCGATAAGAAAGGTGTGCGCCGGTTTCTTGGTCTATGCGCGTACTACCGGCGCTTTATAGGCAATTTTTCGAAAATTGCCGAACCATTAACTAGACTCACTAGAGACGATACGCCGTTCGTTTGGAGTGCTGAACAAGAATCAGCATTCACAGAGCTTCGGCTTCGCCTGGCATCACCACCTGTTCTTGGACATTTCGACGAGGAAGCCGAAACAGAAATTCATACCGACGCCAGTAACGTCGGTCTGGGCGCGGTACTCGTCCAACGGCAGGAGGGAATTGAAAAGGTTATCGCCTACGCAAGCCGAACCCTAACACGCCCGGAGTCAAACTACAGTACCACGGAGAAGGAGTGCCTTGCTGTCGTGTGGGCAATTGCTAAGTTTCGACCTTACCTTTACGGCCGTCCATTCAGAGTAGTGACGGATCATCACTCGCTGTGCTGGCTTGCGAACCTCAGAGACCCCTCCGGACGACTGGCAAGGTGGAGCCTACGTCTGCAGGAGTACGACGTCACTATCGTGTACAAGTCCGGTCGTGCACACGAAGATGCGGACACGTTGTCACGCGCGCCAGTTGAGCCTGCCGCTCAGAGCTTCGAAGAGGACTGCCCTTTCCTTGGCTCCGTAAGCGTAACAGACTTGGCTTTACGGCAGCGAGCAGATGCTCAATTGCGACCTATCATTGAACATCTAGAGGGCCGCAACGTATCACTGCCCCAGCATATAACTCGCGGATTGTCATCCTTCTGCTTACGACAGGGCGTGTTGTACAAGAAGAACGCAGCCGCCAGCAACAAAACTTACCTGTTGGTCGTCCCCGCAGAGCTGCGTGAGGAAATTCTATTTGCCTGCCACAACGAGCCTCCATCGGGCCATCTGGGCATCACCCGAACCATCGCTAGGGTACGAAAGTCTTACTACTGGCCGAAACTTGCCGCTTGCGTTAAACAGTACGTTCAAGCCTGCCGCGAATGCCAGCGCCGAAAATCCCCATCTGTTAAGCCTGCGGGATTACTTCACCCTATCGAGCCACCCAGAACACCCTTCGATCAAGTCGGCATGGACCTCCTGGGTCCGTTTCCCTTGTCATCTTCCGGCAACAAGTGGATAATCGTCGCTACAGATTATCTAACCCGCTATGCTGAAACTAAGGCGCTTCCTAAAAGCACGGCTTGTGAAGTTGCTCAGTTTTTCATCGAGAGAATTGTATTACGCCACGGTGCTCCATCCTGTGTCATCACAGACCGAGGAACAGCGTTTACAGCAAGGCTCCTTGAACAAGTTTTTCAGTTAAGTTACTCCACGCATCGCAAGACAACAGCGTATCACCCTCAGACAAATGGACTGACCGAGCGGCTTAACAAAACGATGACTGATATGCTGTCTATGTACATAGACGTACAGCACAAGACGTGGGATGAAATACTGCCTTACGTAACATTCGCGTATAATACCGCTACGCAAGAGACCACACGATTCACTCCGTTTCGTCTTCTATACGGTCGGGACGTTCAGACGATGTTGGACGCAATGCTCCCATGCGACATTGACAACATCGAGAATCTCGACGAAGATGCTGAGTGTTTCGTGCAACGAGCCGAGGAAGCACGTCAACTAGCCCGCGTAAACATCAAGAAACAACAAGGCGTCGATGCACAGCGCTACAACCGCTGCCACAGACAAGTCGATTATAAACCAGGTGACCAGGTGTTGGTTTGGACCCCTGTGCGCTGCAAAGGTCTCTCTGAGAAGCTTCTCAGTCGGTATTTTGGCCCGTACAAAGTGCTACGACAAGTGAGCGACGTCAATTACGAAGTCCTTCCGGACGGAAGCCAACCACCCCGACGCCGACAGCTACGACCCGAGATTGTGCACGTGGTGCGGTTAAAACCGTACCACACACTGTGACAATGTTTTTTTTTTTACGATACACGCTTCGTTTAGCATCGAGGCGATGCTCTTCAGGGAGGAGGGGCAGTGCCGCGCGCTTGATCTGCCAGCGCAAAAGAGGCAGACGAAGTGGCAGTTCCCCTCGTGCCATTGTTCTGTTTTTGGCTGCGCTGAGCCGACCGCTCTTCGGACTTTTGTGAGGACGCCTTAAAAACGTCTCCTGTCTCTTTAACGTGACAATATAATTATAGAAGAAACTGCTTTCAACTGCATCATTTGTGCAAGCCCTCGTGTTTTCGCGGTGGAAGTGGCACTCCTTGCAATGCTCCGAAATTCCTCAGCTTTTTTTGTCCTATGCGACACTGCACAAGCGCGCATGCACCATTTTATAAGTGCATATTACATAAAGCAGCTCAATTGTTTCCAGGTCAGGCACACTGCGTGAAGGCAATATTTCTAGTTCAAGTAGTTCTAGAAACTGAGTGCCGCTGCACCAACCGCCATTGTTACCCACCTAGCCTATTCACGGAAACTTTAAAAGGCCTTGATTTCAACATAACGAAAGATATTAAAGAAATGGAAAGGTTAAATTGTCATTGAAAGTTTTATGAAACAGTAATTACCCCAATTCCACATTTTAGTTCACACACTATGCCTTGACAAGTTAAAAAGAAATTTCACTCTAGTTGCATCGTATGCTTCAACTTTTCACATTCAATTTTTCTTTTGGGGGAAGGGAGATGGCATTTCATGGGTAAAGAAGAGATGTCAGGATAGAGCTGAGGTCTATAACTCTATCTTGTCTCTTCCTTTTACAGTAAAGGTGTGCATGGCCAGGGTGACATGTATTTTTCGCGCACATCAACAAAAATGTCAGTGCTAAAATCATAAGCATGGCTAGTTTTCCTCAAGCTCCCCGATCTGGCAGTGGTTGTCCACGGTGGTGCACAACAAAACAACTAGAACGGCCAGAAATGAAAAAGAGTTGCTGAGTTACACATTACATTTGTGTTCTGCAGTTTCTATGGCAAGGCCCCGTAGAGTACTGGATCCCAAATAATGTGTCAACAAGGAAAGAGGACGGCAAAAGCAAGGGGGAAGCAAATGTCAATGAAAACTGCTCAGAAAATTTTAAACAAATAATATCCGGGGTTTAATGAACTGAAACCATGATATAATTATGAGGCACATCATAGTGCAGGGGTCCAGAACTGCTGACCATCTGGTGTTTTTTAGTGTGCATTGACCCCGTTCAGTACACAGGCCTCTGCAATTTCGCCTCCATCGAAATGCAACTGCCACGGGATTGAACCCGAAATGTTAAACCAGTTCTTACCTTTGTTGGAGATTTTGTACTATCACAGTGTCATGTTCTAAATAGCATCGCTGGTCATCCACCTTCACCTTCACAAAATAAAACTGTGTTTTTTTTCTCACAAGGCATTATGCGACACGCCATGGTGATCTAGTGGCTAAAGCACTCTTCTGCTGACGTGCAGGTCGTGGGATCGAACCCAACCGCAACGGCTGCATTTTCGGTGGAGACGAAAATGCTTGAGGGTCGCGTGGTTAGATTTAGGTGGACGTTAAAAAGACCTAAGGTGGTCGAAATTTCTGGAGCCCCCCAACACGGCATCTCTTATAATCATATGGTGGTTTCGGGACATTAAACCCAACAATAATAATAATTAAAATAATAATAATATAAATAATAATAAGAAGATATTGTGCAGCAGTAAAAGAGCACCAATTAGCCCAACTCACGTCCTTAGTAACACTTAAACAGCCCCATCTTAGCCTGCCTGGTCTACCATTTCAATTTTTTATGTAAGCTTGATGCGCCTGAGCACAACAGTCATGATTATTCGGTAGACAGATAAGAAACACTTCAGTGCTCTAACTTCAGCAGAGTGCTCAGCCTCGACAAAATTTATTTAAAAATATGTACTATTCCAATACAGCAGAAAATAAGCACTAAAAAGCATGTATCTTCTCATAAACAACAAAACATTTTTTTGACATGCAAAAATAAAGCACTTCCAAAAAGCTCTAAATAAATTCATGGCTGGAACACCTCTACTACACGTGAATCTGGGTATCCAGGTGCATTATGAAATGGTGATGGAACAGTCTCTTTTGAATAGGACCGTCAATCTTTCGTCAACAATAATCTAACCACAACGGCTTTTTTGCAACTGTACTTTGATGAGCTAGAGGTACAGGTGCACAGGATCTTCGTCTATTTTCTCGACAGGTACTTTAGCCATGCCTTTCACACAGAAGCTGTCAACAAACCATGCAGTCCTCACTACACAATATAGAGCATTCCTCACATGTGCAACAATCAGCCAACATTCATGATACCCTAGTAAGACAGTCTCTCACTCTGCATAGCACCAGTTTCAAGGCATCATTCGTTCTTTTTTTTTTTTACGCACACAGCCCAAACACTGGTTCGGTGTTCCATTAACAGCCATAACACAGTAGGAAAGAAAAAAGAAACTACATAAAACATGACTGACTACAGTTCCAAATTTCTGAACCCAAGTGCTGTGGTCACGTCATGTAAACTAGATACAGTCTAAAAAATGTGACTGAGTACAATATAGCTACTCAATGCATGCAAATGACTCTCTTTATGCTACACAGCAGTATTTAAAATAATTAAAACTCATACAATTTGTCAAACAGAGAGGCATATTTGTTCCTTAACATACTGGCCTCCCAAGACAATCTTGATTAACAAATAGAAAAATTATGTTTCCCTTCATCCTGTACCAACAACACTGCTTTTGAACAACCTATGGCTAGAAAGTTACAAGGCCTGTTTAAAGTCAATAAAAGCATTGAAAAGGCACACAAGGACAACAGAAATGAATACTTTTTTTTTCGGAAAAAGCAACCTCCGCAAAATCGGCCTACTAGCTCGCTAGTTTCTTGGTAACGGAAAGTTAAGCCTGAAGCATTAGACAGGCCGAGTGTAATATCCTGTACAATTTTTAATAAATGGGCCATGATATACTAAAGTTGATGCGTACACATCAACACATGTACCCATGCCACTATTTACTGGTTTGCATTGCACCAAGCTAAAATATATTGTAGCACTCTGTCAAAGGAAGCAAAATATAACATGGTCACATCCATGCCTGTACTAGAGAATCGGGAAACATTCAGTGCTGTTGTTTCCCATTAAACAATCAGTCAAAAAATTAATATCAAAGCAAATTTTACATAGAAAAAGGCAGTACATGTCACAACACAAACACACATTCAATCTGGAGCTTCTGCGAGAACTAAAACAGGACCACCACAGAGCTACCTCACCACTGCTTAAAAAAGACAAATGTTGTTATGTACACAATTGCAGCACACACAAAGAAAAATGACAAGAAAGGAAGTGTCAAAATTCTTCCAGCTTTCAGACCTGGATGAAGGGGCTATTGGAGGAATATACGAAAGCATAAGGTGCAGCCACTTTCAAAAGGCTTCGAATGCCTTGTCATTGACACCACAATTACTCAAACTTCACGCAGGCTCTTCAATATGAGACACCCTCATGGTGAGGTAATACAGGGAGCGCAGCAGGAATAGGAGGAATGCAATCAGACCACCTGAAAATGCAAATTAAAAAAAAAAGAGAGAGAGACAGACATCAAGTTATTCAGGGATACTCAATAATATACAAAGCATAATTCAAAAATAAAGGCAGTAACATAACAAGCACCTCAGGAGCTGAAAATACCAGTAACAGATCACTCTTCGATAACAAAAGAAACTATGAGAACAATATTAAAGTTCATTGCACCCTACTAGACCACAGATGGGAAAATTGCAGTGATAAAAATGGTGCAGCATCTCGTTTAAATGCAACAACATTTAAAGATTTTCACATATATAACCAGTGCTCTACAAAAGAATTTCCTACCATGGAGCTGCCACTTAATGCAGTTTCCATAGACGAGCAATAGTAGTATGTCAATGGAAACTATCTTAAGCTGCATGAATTCCATCGGTGCATACACCTTTTTATTTTCTGCCTTGGGCACACACATACATGAAGTGTTTAGGTGGTGCCCGAACAACAGTTAGTGCCTGCTGAGCTTTAATTCACACATCACATTCTCATGGCTGAGAAATCAGTTCTGCAATATGCAAAAGGTGGAGCAAGAGTTATGAAAAGGAAAATTGCTACCAAGCTGTTTGTAGCACAAACCTACAAGGAAATCCACATGGCGTTCCCAGAAACAAAAAGCTTTGTAGTCAATGCCAAGAACAATTGTAGGAACCCAAAGAACTGTTTTGCCATGTTCAGTGTCCATGAGCTTCAAATTATTATGCTAACCTCGTATTGCCACAAGCTTGCATTCTGGCTAGCTAAACTGAAAATGAGTTGATCTCAGGTTCAAACCCCAGAAAAGGACGAAGGTTTCGTCAACTCAGAAGCATTTCTTTCCAGAGAAAGAAATGTATAGGTTTCATAGTAGGTCTGTGCTAAAAACGGGTGAATGGTAATTTTCTTTCATAACCTTGTTGCTACCAGGCCTGAGTGACTCTTAACGATTGCATCATTTTAACCATGCAGTCTCGTGCGATACCTGTTCTAAACAGCAATCAATGCTAAAACAGTGTCAGCACATTCAGTATTTGGTTTACATATTGGCACAGAGACAGTTCTCATCACAAAAAGTCAGATTAAAACTAAAAGCCAGATAGAGGCAACATGGTTCCCATTCGAATGTTTGGAACAGCCCATGTAGAGCAATATTTCATTCGACATTATCTGTTCAATCTATGATGTCTAGAGAAAAATCTAGTTGATTAAACCCACCTGCAAAGCTAGACAGCAACTTACATTAGGGTCAACAATGGAGTTAATGCAGCGAATATATTAAACACGATAAAAATGAAAAATTTCAGCCATATTCATGAACTACCCTTTGATAACACCAAAATACCAACATCACTCATGCCAAAAGGTGACGCTTCTAGAGCACAAAAATTAAAAGCACACAGGTGGTGACGCTGCTTTGAGGTTTTCACGTGGACCCGGTGTGACAATGTTTGGTGGTGTCTGCTATGGCTTACATAATTATTAACATCTAAAGACGAATTACATTGCATTGCAAGAAAGTCAAAAACTTAATGCAGCAAGTTTCAGGAAATTTTATAAGGCAGATGTGCCCGAAATAAAAAACAAAAAAAAACAGAAAGAGAAAGACATATGCCTTCCACTGACTTTAGGTACTGGTGTGTAACTGTGAAAATTCAAAAATGAAAGTTAAGTCTCTATTTTTTTTATTTAATCTTCTAATGTTGAATCTATGATGGCAATATTATACATGACAAAATTTTCAAATAACATTTTATTAACCTAAGCTGACATAGTGTTCCCCTAAGTGTCACTTTGGGACGTGATAGCACCAAAGTTTTGAGCGTACATTATGCACTACTTTTAAAACACTAAAAGGAACTGCGTAACAACCTTCACTGCTTTTCTGTTTTGTGTTGCAATTATATGTGTACCATCTAAAGTGGCTAACCTTGCAGCGATTTCTCTGAAAAGTGTATAGGAATGTTTTTAAAACAGAATTTTTCCATCTGCATTTAGTTTCCTTCCATCAGTGGGATGAATGGCCTCAACACTGTCGGTCGAGGCGATAAAAATTGCACTGCCGGTGAAAGTAGAAAACTGAAACCGCACGAGGTATTTTCAGGCTTTAAGTTTTGTTTATCAATAAAAAATATACCTTAGTGGTCCTTTAAGGCACGCACACACTTTTGTTGTTCTTATTAACAGCGGAAGATGGCATGCTCGCGTTTCTTCGCCGTTTGCAGGCAGGCATGCAGGAAAGCGAACACATCGCTGGCAGCACCACCGGGAGCTTCTTTTAACACGTGAGGAAAAAAAAAGTGTTTGGCGCAACATAAAACCGCTTCATGCGCACGAAATACAATTATAAGTTATAGATGTTTGTTTTTCAGCAACAGATTCAACCAGCCAGGATTTCTCATCCTACCAGTAGATTGACCACATCGCTTTTGGATGACGCTAGTGGTCATTTTTGGTCGACTTTGAACATCAAGTTAAAATTATAATTTTATTTTTATGGGACAAAGGCATGCTCATTGCTGCTGATCTGATGAACAATCTTCTCGTTTGCACTACAATCAGAAAAATCTTTTCGAGCGGTAGACAGTCCCTTTAACAGAGCAACTTGGTGAAAATTTGAGCACATTTAGTGAGTAGGACTAATCCACTAGCGACTAATGCACTAATAACTAGTGTGGCTCAATGGCACTTAATTATTTGGGATATACACACAGCAAAATATGTATCTTAGATGGAAGCGAGAGACTTGCAACCAGCCATACTAGAAAGTTTGCAAGGTCCACGCCATTGTGGACAAGAATAAAAATCACCAAATAATGATTGCTGCAATAGTACTGAATGATAAAAAGGGGCATTGCATCACTGTAAGTATAACAAATTATGACTAAGGTGATAGTACAGACTTGGTAGCAGCAGCATAAGCTTGCATATCTTAGTTTGGACCGCCACTTGCACAATGAATCAAACAGTTTGCATAATGTTCCTTCCTACAGTGGTATAACTAGTGGTCAATGAATTGGTATTGTTTCTCAAAGCTGGAGGGTAATTTTATTTGCACAGCACAAAAGTAACCATATTTTAAGGAAATAAAGCCAGTCGAACCAGGGATCGTATTTTGACGCAGTTTAGCCGAATCTTGTGCAGGGGCAGCATTGCAAAATTTAGCACTCCCAAAAACTGTAGATTGATAAGGCATTTTTAACATTATTAATAATAATAATATTAAATGATGGGATTTGATCTCCCCAAACCACAATATGATTACGAAAAAGCCGTAGTGAAGGGCTCTGGGAATTGTGACCACTTGATGTTCTTTAACGTTCACCAATATCTAAGTACACAGGCCTCAGGCATTTTCGACTTCAATGAAAATACGGCCACCGCGGTTAGGATTCCATTCCACGACCTGTGGGGCAGCAGTCAAGTACCATAACCACTCGACCTCTGCGCCACGGTGGGGTTTTTTTTTCTCTTCTTTCCAAATTCATGTTGTGTTTGAAACCCTGACATGAGCAGAGCTATAGATCCAATGACTGTGCAACTGCACTGCAATAAAATAAGCCATCAAGAATTATAAAATACGGCCACCGCGGTTAGGATTCCATTCCACGACCTGTGGGGCAGCAGTCAAGTACCATAACTACTCGACCTCTGCGCCACGGTGGGGTTTTTTTTTCTCTTCTTTCCAAATTCATGTTGTGTTTGAAACCCTGACATGAGCAGAGCTATAGATCCAATGACTGTGCAACTGCACTGCAATAAAATAAGCCATCAAGAATTATAAATGGCGAGGTTATTTACAAACTTATACAGCTCCACAGGAAAGATAAATTTTCCAACTTTCTGGGCAGTCAGCCTTCCCATCAAGACCACAATTAAGTAATGATATCAATTTCTTTGGCATTACTTTTTATGCTTTTTACTAGTCGGTGATCAGAGTTACACAGTGCCAGCACTATCGAAGAAATCTGCCAGCCAAGAATGATGGACAACTAGGATGGCAAAAAATAGAGTGCAACACACTTCTACAAAAACCCTGCTATAGCACGCATACTTCACGTTAACTAGTAAATTATGCCCTACCTTTTTTTTTATTCTGGGCTGTGTGCTAAAAACCTATATGCCCATGTGCATAAAACAACAACCAACATAATGCATGAGCTGGAATTACTTTATACAAGAAAAGCAACAGTACGAAAATGACAAATGACTAAGCTGGAATTCACATTGTCTGCAACAGGCGAGGAACAAATGAAAAGAGAGAAGGAGGCTACTCACAAGCATAGACAACGTAAATACCCTTCTTTTCAACAGCATACTGGTATGTCCCAAGCTGAGAAAAATAAAAATAAAATCACGAATTTGAATTCCACACTCATAACTGCAATAAGGAAAAGCACCACACTATCACTACAAAATGATAAAACGACTCTTCAGGAACAGAGATTAAAATAAGATTAAGGTGCACTATTTATCGTTGCAATGATATTCAAGAAAGATAATTTGTGGGGTTTTAGGCTCCACAACCACAATACGATTTTGAGACACCGTAATTGTGGGCTCTAGCAATTTTGACCACCTAGAGTTCTTTGACGTGAGCCTAAATCTATGTGCACAGGTGTCTAGAATTTGTCTTGATTAAAATATGGTCACTGCAGCCGAGACTCAGTCCTGCGACCTTTGAGTCAGCAGAGCACCATAACCACTAAACCACATTCAAAAAAGAGAAGTGCAGCTTAGAAGTGAACTAACACCGCCACGTTTTAGCATAATTACACAGTGTGCCACATTAGGCATATAAAGCACATTCCTGGAATACGAATGCCTATTGCATTTCTACAGTGAAATTGTATGAACAAATCAAGTTTGTTCTTTTTGGCATGCTTGTGCAACCAAATGTGCATTCAATGTACCCAATGTACCATATATTAAAATTTGTGAAGCGGGAATTTGAACACCACTGTTCACTAACCTAGTCATCACGCAGAAAGGCAGATTTTCGGTTAACCTTAAAATTCACGGAAGATAGCCTCCACGTGAAAAATGATGAAGCACTTACTGTGATTCCAAGTGTAATGGCTAATATAACCAGAGCCAAAATAAGTGACAAAATTCCTCTTGTGCGGGCAAACTGGGGCCCTACAGATGATCTATCCAGAAGAAAGAGTATATAAAATGCAATTACTACAGACTGATAATTATACCAGCACAATTGAAATCCTGAACATCTAAGACATACTTGCTTATGTTTAATATGCATTTACTTTACAGACCAATGGGACGGCCAGATGAATCTAGAATGTATGACTGAATCATAGACTGCATTTGTCACGCGAGTCTATCTTTAGGAATAACTGATATTTTATGAAGCACAGAACTGTGCTCTTATTAACATGTGTGTGCACATATTATGAATACATGAGTAAGACAGCCAGCTGAGCTAGTAAAATTATTTCTCAGCGCTGAGTTGGTGGACAGCTGACAAGATAAAATAGAAGAGCCAAAGAAAAAATCTCAATATGATTCTGTTCTATTCATGCATAGGGATCTCAATACATACAGTTAATGAGAACTAATAGACAATGATGCCAATATAGGGTTTGTTACAAGTGTATAACTACAATGTGAATGTGAAAAACGAAAATTGGCCAAAAGATGACTTGACGCCAGCAGGGACGGAATCTGCGACCTTCAAATAACACGTCTGATGCGCAATTTGAAGGTCATATGTTCAATCCCTGCCAGCGGCAAGTAATCTTTTTCCCCACTTTTCTTTCTTCACATTTACATCAGGATTACTACTAACAATATCCCCTATACTTTTCTTGGCAAGCACCATTCTCTGTTAGTTCTCATTAATATTGTGTCTAACAAAGAAAACGAGCTCTTAAACGTACACTTCTTGCCAAAACTGTCCTGAAGTGCATATATACCTATGATGCATACATGTTCACAATGCAGAAGCAGTGTACAATGTGTACTGATGTACTGTTAACATACAGAAAACCCTAATGGTGCTTGTGCTGGGTGCATTGATTTGCTAAATGTGGCAACATTCAAGAACACGCATGCTTCTGTGAGCCAACAGTCATGGCTGATGGCTATAGAAAGAATACCGTTACTTAGCAACAAAATTTAAGCTGACAGGCTTGAATCTTCATCGTTATCAAGACTCGCTTAAAGTAGTAGAAATGCTAAAAAATTAGTGTGCATAAAAATATACAAGGTAACGAAAGATTTAAGATCATGAAATACTATACACAGGCTTTCCTGCACTGAATAGTTTCCACTGCACTAATTTTATAATTATAAGCCCCCAATCCTGCACAAGCACTTTTTTTTTTAACTGTTGCTGTCAAGAAAGGAATGAAAATCTTGAGACATACACTTTTCTGCAGTGCGGGCATCGAGACAGAGCATTGTTCAATGTGTTGAACTGTAAAGACAGAAAAACAATGAAAGAAGCAAGAAATGAGAAAGCAGGGACAGGGTGACATAAAAAGAAAGTATTGCAACTTTACTATTGTGAAGGCTGACGAAGGGCATACCACAGGCACTCAACGATTCTCGTCCTTAGCATTGCCACGGCTCCATTTACCAAAGTGTCGATGATGTTCGCCAAGTGCGATGATGGCAATGTTTGAGGCAAGCATGTGGGGTTTCCCTAACAGGAGTACAATCTTGTCAAAGAGATTCGAACACTCCACAAGCCACATGTGCACTACTTTTTGCTGCGTTTTACTGACTTCCTGCTTGTAATGACAGTTGAGATACGTGTTCTCTACAGCAAGTTCAATCAGGTTGTTCCCTCATCACATGTAGCGACATAGCACCGGCGAAATGAGGGGCATTCGCTTGCTCGACGACGTGAGGGCACCCTTTCTTTGTCTGTGGCATGCAAACAATAAATGTTGAATTGGCAGTAAGCGATCGTGAGGGGCATTCGCTTGCTCGACGACGTGAGGGCACCCTTTCTTTGTCTGTGGCATGCAAACAATAAATGTTGAATTGGCAGTAAGCGATCGTACATGCCCTCTCTGTCCCTCAAGCTGCTGATTCACCTATTCTCAACACCCAAACCACTACTCGTCCTTGGAAAAGCTTGCCTTTTCTCACGCTTTGACTTGTGTGTTGCGTCGCAAAATATCGGTTATTACAGCTTATTGCTTCTCCGTGAGATGGCATGAAGCAACACTCAAAGGCAGAGCTGCTGACGCTCAGGTGCAATACATGTTTTAGATGTTGCGCATGGTAAAAAAAAAAAGAGGCAGCCTTAAGCGTAATGTACGCAGCGTGCAGCCCGTTGCAGACGTACAGCCTTGCTTACACTAAACTAAAATTCTTTAATAGTATTCCACGACTTTCATTACCTCAATGAAACTCTGAATACGTGAAGGCATGTTTATTGCAAACACTGCATCTAATGCAGTTGTAAAGCATAAGGCAGAACATTGCCTTTTAGAACTTAGTGTTGAAATCCTCAATTGATTTTGATGAAACTTGCAAAGTTTATGTATATTGGTGTACTGATTTCAACTGTGCAATTACATGCACTAGTATAATATGCAGTTTTTAAAATATTGAACACTTTCTGTGACTATTTGGAAGCAACAGTTTTTCCTAAATGAGGAGGATGACAAAGGAAATTAGCATACCACAATAATCTGGAATAAGAAATCTATGTAACACAACAAGGATGGTTGTTCTAAAGACATCAAGACTACAGTTGTGGCATCTTTAACATTCGCAAGGAAAATACCAGCTTGACATTGCCTCGCAAAGGTTCCACATGCTATAACTACATGTCAAATGGGTTGGTGACATCAATTCTTCTTCATATCGCATACATTTGTCATGCCAGATAATTGTGATACGTCGACTTATTTTGTAACTAAATCAGTTTAGGCAAAAATCTTGCCCCCAAAGTTCAAGTTAACTTTTACATCTGCATGCACAAATATGGGCTCAAATACATACAGCATCAGGATGTGCCAAGCGTGAAACTGTCAGAAGGACATTTTAATATTAGGGGCCCACATGAAAGATGTGTAACACCAGCAGGAGCTGTTACATAAAGTGTCACTGTCTTTAAAACTACATATTCAGCCCAAAAAATACTTGCATATTCAAAATCAGCACACAAAAACATAAAGATTCGGCAAGTTTCATCAAAATGAACCAATAATTTAAAAATTTTCCTGAGCAATCAGGGCTAGAGCAAGATCAGACTGTTTGATGCAATTTCCTTAATGTACACCATCCATGAAAGTATCAAATAGTTTTATTTGGAAAAGTTCAGCTGAGGTGATGATATAATTATGAAATTACAGTAATGAAGAGTAGCTGTAGATAATTACATACTAGCTTCAATTACTTATGTATACTTCAATGCACTGCATAACTTGTTAAAGCTTTCAATTTCATACCGATAATTTTAAAGCAAATTAGAAGTACAGCTAGAAGACATATGCAACAAACTTGGCAATGCACTTTTTGCAAACCCCAGTTCACATCATTTAGACTAGTATTTGAGAAGCACTTTAATTCTTTTTTGCTTTTTTTTTACTTTAACATGTAGCACCTGATGTGCCAAATAATAATGACATGCTGTTGATGAACCATATGAACAAAGAACATTAACACTTGCAATTATGGTTTTTATTTAGTGGACATGACAAAAACGATAACAATAGTTCTTTTTTTGTTATGTAAAAGAGAAAAATATTAGGGGATTAAGGAAAAAGGATGCTAAATATACATTCTTCCCGACTTTCTCATCTAAAAATTCTCAAAAAGCAGCTGAAGAAACACCACTTGTTTCAGTATGTGCCGATTTTTTAAAATGACACTGCCATGTCAGAGTCACACAAATATGCAAATGAAGTTGTCTTTTCCTCAGATAACAACCTGCCAGTTCCTCGTTCTGAGCTTAGGTGTTATCTGATCTCGGCTCATAATCTGAGGTAGAAGAGCCACTGCCACTGCAAGCAATAACTCAATGTCTTTTGCGTGCTGCCACTGCAATGCAATCACGTGGTGACACTAAAAAAAAAAGTGCTTTCGTTTATTTGAACTCTCAGCTACAAACCAAGAGGAACAACAGATAAAAGGGTGAGCAACATATGAAGATAAAGAGGGAGCAGAGGCCATTCAGGAAGAAGCCCACTGATGGAGCTTCCCACGCAGCATTCCAAAAATATGACACATGCCCACTCACCAAAAAAGTTTGCTGGCAATGCACGCAAGATACTCGACAAAGTCCAGGCACAGAGGCAGGAGGAATGTTGGTCGTACTGGGAGCCAAGTTGATGATTCGATGGCTGTAGCGATAAATTACAAGCGCAAAATTTACTTTAAGCTTTCACAGACATGACAGCACTTGGCTTGAATCTATGAAAACTTTGATGAAACGAGAGTGTTCTTAACACTATAAACCAAAATTTCAAAAGTAACACAATGCTCTTATGACGTACAAGAGGAACACCAACCACAAAAGAAAAGTAAGATTGCTTGTGAGCAAGGGTCCCAACAGAAAACCGAAATACCTTTCTTTCACTTTTATATGGTGTGTTGTGTGAAGCACGTCTTACTACCGTCAGCGTAACCCTTTTAGAAACACGTTTTGTTGCTTCAATACTGTAGAAAGTGAAGTTTGAAATACTGTGTTCTGAGGTGTCGTCACTAACCCGACATTTAGTGCCTTCTAATGACAAAATTGTGAAACTTGCATGCCAGTTTCACAGCAGAATGATGCCCATTCAGACACCTAAGATATTCTTTCCCCATGGCCTTTCTCGAGTGTAAAGCTTCTTACAACTTCTTACGAAAAATTACTTTGCACCACTGCTCTTAGACACCCTTTCCTACATTGTGTGCTGGTTTCGGCCTTGGATAACTGGCATGCAGCATGAGGCACTCGCACTGCACCAAGCCATATATTAAAAACAGTGAAGAGGAAAATGGCCACTAGTATGTTTTCAGTTTTCCTGCATTGAGCACCATCAGCCTTGGCATAATTGGCAAAATGAACATTGAAAAAATAAGAAGAAAAAATAAGAGAAAAAGCACAGAAGGAGAAGAGCATGAAAGATGGTGACAGTGAAAGCAGAAGAGGAGAGAGTATAGCAAAAAGAATGAGGATACTTTGCAAGCTTCAATTTTTAGGCAAGTTAGCATAATTATGCTAAGCTGTCTATAAAAAAAAGCCAACTGGGTACATTAACAGATAGAAAAGATTAGTGGATGTGCACTGACCTTACACCTGCTGTCTCAGCCTCGGTGCAAACACTAACTGAACTTCCGGCTTTTATATCTTTGGAGCCACCCCATCAAATAGCCTGAATTATGCTGGCTTGGGGCATATTTGTGCCTAGCATAATCTTTTTAGAGGAATCTAACTAAAAGGAGTTGGAAACCTGGTGCTAAGCACCTATTTCATATGATTCGTATCTTTTACTTGAAGTACATATGGTAGAAGTTATATATACTCTTCTATTCCATTCTTGTTTTCACAATGCTTCTTCAAAATTCCATATAAAAATGCTCAAACACTCTGTGAAGTTTTGCTCCTATAATTTACTAAAAGCACAAATAAATTGATTACAATAATTTATCTCACAATGTGCACGCTACCCTTGGAATGCCTTGAAATAAAATGATGAAATGACAACATTAAAATTAGCATATTTCTGAAAGTAGAGAATGAGATTAACTTCGAGTTCAAGTAACGACTTTTTGGCTCTTCTGGTAACCGGTGTCTGTACATCTGCAGTAATAATGAAGTAATTATTATAACTTAAAGGCTCTAGCCTGCAACAAACAAAAACATAACATTTCACAATTGACAATAATATATTCTTGCTTGGCCAGTACTGTAATTGGTTTTGTTGGTAGTGATCTGTCGCTTTGGATACTGCAGCTGGAAAAAAATGCAAACAAAGCTTTGTGTAGTGTACTTTGTTTTCCATCTCACTCAAGCTATCTAAAGTTGTTAACAAATAACACTTGTGTTTAGAAATTCTGTCTGTTCACAGGCTGACACTAATGGTACCTCATGAACTGTATGATCAGTCAGACCAACAGGAAAAGAAACAGTGACTCACCAATTGGCCCTCGGGCAGCCTATCCTTTGTGATGTCACATTGCATATCAGTAAGCAGTTACATGGGCAACGCACATACTTTTTGCCATGAGGTGCATGGCGAATTGGCTAGAACAGACAAACGAGAAAAAATAATTACTTCTGTATAACCATATGACTAAGGAAAAGTGGTTCCCCTTCACAACCAATCAGTTCGATTTCATTACATAACAGATGTGTTATAAGTACTATGAATAGTTATAAGCAGTGCAGAAAGCTGGACAAAAAAAATCCACTAAAAAATTGTATAGTACCCCCTGCCCATAATGACTGCAAAGTTTGGGCAGAACTGTTTCAATATATAGATATTTATGTCAGGCCATCAGTGTGCATCTTTTCTGGGGGTTAAATTTGAACACAATGGACACATGCTCACCTTGCTAGCCTCAGTTTCCTTCAGCAGGTGTCCACAAGCACACATTACCCCCAAGCTGGCTTAAAGGCAATTCTTAGCAAACACTCATTAGAAAAATCTACCCATAATGAAGCTGCACACCTAGAAAAATCACCAGCTAAAATAGAACCAAAAGCATTGTAGCCTTGAGATGACATGCAGAAATTAACTTTGTTAGATGACAGAACACCACGAAATTGAAATTTAACTGAATGCTAGTTTACAGAACAAAACATTATGATCATGCAGAAAGTCTAGACAGCAACCTTTTAGAAAAGTGTGATGAAACAGTCTTTAGTAGAACCCTCAAAATAAGGGTACTGTTCCAAGCTTCTATGTAACTGTAACTGTTCAGCAGAAAAAAAAAATGAAATATTAATACACGAAATGAAAGCCAAACTACCCTAATTGATCAAGACTAGCACCAGCACCAGTGACACTCCTGTTTCACTGATATTCAGAAGAGTTATTTTTAATTGTAAAGAAAAACAAGGCTAACATAGCTCCACACACTACATACCCAGTGATTCATTCATAAAACACTTGAAATGATACTGTTGCACCCTGCTAAAAGAACCTGAAGAAGATCTCTGGGTAAAAAAAACTATAAAGTAAGGCTACCTGCAGAAAACTTGCTAAACTAACAAAGGCTGCTTCCATATCATATATGTTAGCATTAAACACACTGATGAAGATGAACTACTCAAAATGTACAGTGTATAAAAACTGTCAAAAATAGCCATCAAGTCAATCGCATGACCAAACAGGGCTGCTTACCGTAGCCTCATTACAGCGAGAACATTTGACCACATGTTGGTCTCGTCGATTGGTGATGTCAATGACATAGCCGCAGACTCTGCATGGGACAATGTTCCCCTGGGTGGCATACTGAGGACTGTAAGGTGGTGGCAGTTCATCTTTAAAGAAACAAAAATGATTAACAACATGAAATCACTCTGTTTAGTCAATAATAAGTACTGTAATTTTGTATAGCATTAAGGTAAAATTTAGGAGTAAGTCATAGAAGCCAAAATTAATTTATATTTAAAAATAACCCATTGAATACCTTTATTACCCATTTATTCTTGGCTATTATGAACTATTTAGACTTCTAGGGTGTGTATAAGTATGCAAGTGGCATAATAAAATATGACATACAAGGAAAACCATAAACAACAAATGTATTCGATTTATTAGCACAACCAATAAAGGCATAATCAAGGTTATCAATGTAGACGAAAATGTTCTAGCTCATTGACATGCTCGTATTAAAAGCCATACTGCTCTTTGAAAATTTTGTTTTTCATGTACATGGGTATCCTGTTAGTCCAATCCGCCGTCATTGCTGCAACTTCTCGTGGTGGTAAGAGATTATTTTTTGCTCGGCAGAAGGACTATACTCTGTCAATAGGCCAGTGAGACGGTACTTTATCGTTATTTGCAGGTTCAACTGGAGTTGTCAAAAGAACGCTGTTCTCTAAAGTTTCTTGCCATTATTTGCCCCAAAATTAGAATACACTTAGGTACCTGTGCCTCAGGTTTAAATACAGTGCTGAACCAGTATATAGTAGAAATTTCTTTATCTCAGATCAAAGCCATGTTATCTGCACTTGATGACATGCTTATCCACTGATAACACAGCAAAGTTGTGACCACTGACTAAGTGCAATAGAAATTGCGAGTTTCTCTTACTAGGGTCAAAATTTCACACATTAGGATTATTTTTTGCAAGTCTACTATTTCAAAGTTAGTAAAGCTAACAGATGCATTACATATATTACAGAAAGTCTTGAAGTAAGCATCAAAGAAAGTATGCACCTTAAGCCAACGTTTTGACAAAAGGAACTACACTTGATATGCTTACCACAACACTCCTTGCCTGACCCCTTCTCCTCCATCACATTGCCCTTTAAAGGGCCACTAAACAACCCTATGGCCGAATATGTGCAAATTTTGCAAATATGTACTGTGATAAGGAAGTTGCAGGGTATAGAACAACCTGCTTCAACTGTATTCAGTTTATTGCTTGGTCTTCGCACTTTTTCTGGCAACCAAAAAGGGTAGTGGTATGATGATGTGTAGGGCTTAATGGCACAAGGGACAATTGGTGGCCAAAAAGCGCCATTTCAGTGACTAGATATGTGGACAATGATATAGTGCGTGGCTGAATAGGGGCCTTAAAATTCCTCGTGCTAACGCGGGTAAAAACGTAACTAATAAAATCATGACAATGGCGTGATATGGATAGTAAAAATGGGTGACAAAAGGTTTCGATAATAAAAGCATGTGTAAAATATTTGGCACTAGCACAAGTGCCTCATCAGCGCCCTTCTGTCCAAGGGCCGAGAGGCAAGTGCTTCTCAATGTAGCCACTGCAGCAGCAACCTCTCTTGAGAGGTCACGCTACGCAATTCCTGGGTATATTACATGGTAAAAACCGAGATCTCTTCAAAAAGCTAGCAATGATTTATGGGTGAAAAGTGGTTCCCTGCCGACAAACATTGCGGGGTGTAATGGTATATGTTGTCGGTAGAGTAATGGAAAGTTTTAACTTCTTAGAGTGTCTAATTGTTTACACTGCATACACAATGATGGATCGTCACCGGACAAAAGATATGAGTGTGTCGTGTATGTGTGTCCTATCCTGAGCCTTGTTAGTGTTACCTCTGTATGACGTGATTTTGATACTGGGGGCCAATGGCCAATGTGTGGCTCGATAACGTGTAGTTTGTTTTGTATGCGTCTATCCCACTTGCTCTGCCAGTAGTCCCTGCGCTTTCGTTTGAGAGACGGCTTAAGATCAAGGGCTGGGATTGATATTGGTGTAGTGGCGGTGCTTTCGTGGACGGATGCAGCAAGCTGATCCGCATCACGTTGCCTTGAATATCACTGTGCCCTGGCACCGAGCACACTACAACATGTTGTTTGATTGATTGATATGCGGGGTTTAACGTCCCAAAACCACCATATGATTATGAGAGACGCCGTAGTGGAGGGCTCCGGAAATTTCGACCACCTGGGGTTCTTTAACGTGCACCCAAATCTGAGCACACGGGCCTACAACATTTCCGCCTCCATCGGAAATGCAGCCGCCGCAAACATGTTGTTTGAGTGTGTAGAGTGTGCATAAAATAGAGTAAAGTGAGACAAGGACAAGGTTTTCTTGTTTTTTTTTTAAGATTGTGCAGAGCCATAACCACACTGAGGGAGTCTGTATAAATTACTGCTTTTTTGTATTTGTGATTACTTGATGTGTTTAGCCGCCACAAGTATCGCGTAAGCTTCCGCTGTGAAGATACTTGTGCCTGGATGTAGAGGGCCAGCATGCGAAAAGGATGGGGCCAAAAGCAGCATAGGACACAAAGGAGCTAGACTTAGAGGCATCTGTAAAGAACTCAGGACGTGTGTGTTTGTGTTGAAGTTCCAGGAAGTAGTTTCGGATATGGGCAATAGGTGCATGTTTTGTAACTTCTAGGAAAGACACATCGCAGTCTATAATCTGCCACTGCCACGGTGGCTGGCATACTACAGGAGCCATTAAACTGTGTTCAAGTGACACTTCAGTTTCCTCAGCTAGACCCTTCAGGCGAACTGAGAAGGGCTGCCTCATCGAAGGCCTGTTTTGAAACAGAATAGAGCTCGACAAATCATTAATAGTGGAGTATAAAGGGTGCTTCTTGTCTGCTTTCACCTTAAGAAAATATACAAAGAATATGCAAGTTCTTCGTAGATAAAGCGACCATTCATTTGACTCAACAGAAAGGCTTTGTACAGGGCTGGTGCGAAAAGCACCTGTAGAAAGGCGGATGCCCAAATGGTGCACGAGATCCAGCATCTTCAAAGCACTTTGAGTCGCAGACTGATAAACAACAGCCCCCATAATCTAGGCAGGTGCGAATGAGGCTTCTATACAGGTTCATAAGACATTGCCTGTCACTACCCCACGTAGTATGTGACAACACTTTTATAACATTCATGGCTTTTAAACATTTTGTTTTTAAATACTTGATGTGTGGTACAAAGGTCAACTTGTTGTCCAAGATTAAGCCTAAGAATTTATGCTCCGCATTGACAGACAGACGTTGACCGTTCAGTTCAATGTCAGGTTCTGAGTGCACGCCTCTCTTTCGGGAGGACAAAACACACCTGCTTTTTTTCTGGGTTCAGCCGGAATCCGTTTTCCTCTGCCCATTTGGAGACTTTGTTTAAAACCTAACTGAACCTGCCGCTCACACATTGCTAGGTTGCATGACTTAAAGCCAAGCAGCACGTCATCGACATATGTGGAATGGAACATGTTGCGGGGGATGGACAGGTGCAAGGAATTCATTTTGATAATAAAAAGTGTACAACTAAGTACACCACCTTGCGGTACTCCCGTTTCTTGCACAAATGTTTGAGAGAGAATACTGCCCACACGGACACGGAATTTCCGATTAGACAAGTAACTCTCGATTATGGAAAGCATTCTACCGTGCACACCCAGGTGAGACAAGTCTCTTAATGTGCCAAAACACCATGTTGTGTCGTAAGCCTTCTCGATATCGAGAAACACTGAGAGGAAGTATTGTTTGTGGACGAAAACGTCTTGGATCTGTGCCTCGATACGCACCAGATGGTCGGTGGTGGATCTATCCTCTCGAAACCCATACTGGAACTGGTCAAGCAGATTGTGTGTTTCAAATAAATGTAAAAGTCGGTGGTTTATCATTTTTTCAAAATGTTTACAAAGGCAGCTGGTTAGTGCAATGGGCCTATAACTTGAAAGTGAGGAAGGGTCCTTGCCCTTTTGCAAAATAGGGATAACAATAGCCTCTTTCCAGGAAGCAGGGATGGTGCCAGAAAGCCAGATAGCATTGTATAAAGAGAGTAAACCTTTTCGCGTTTTGAGCGGGAGGTTTTTCAATATTTCATGCGTGACACGGTCGTAGCCTGGGGCAGAGTTACTGCAAGAGTTTAGTGGTGTTTGTAGCTCAGCTAAGTTGAAAGGTTGGTTGTATGCCTCGTGATTTGTGCACTTGTATTCTAATTTCTGCTTTTCTATCCTTGCTTTATATCTTTAAAAAGCTTCAGTATAGTGTAATGAGCTTGACACTTGCTCGTAGCGTGCACCGAGGAAGTTCGCCTGATCTTCCAGGCTGTCACCCTGTGTGTTTAGAGTGAGAGTGAGTGTACTTGTCTTCCTGCTACCCTACGAACCATGTTCCAGACTTTAGCCTCTTGTGTATATGAATTTATCCCTGATAAAAACTTGTGCCAGCTTTCTCTTCTGGCCTGCCGACGTGTTCTTCTGCGTTGAGACTTTATTTTCTTGAAAGAGTCAAGATTTTCGGCTGTTGGTGAGTTCCGAAGCAACCTCAATGCCCTGTTCTGTTCCTTTTGCGCATTACGACACTCTGTGTTCCACCATGAGACCTGTCGTTTGCCGGGCATTCCAGATGTTTGCGGTATGCACTTTGCTGCATCAGTTAGAAAAGCTGTAAAGTACTGCACAGCTTCATCTATGTTTAACCTACATATGTCTGTCCAACTTAAACGTGTAGTGTTATGAAACTGTTTCCAGTCTGCTTTGTTTATCAGCCATTTGGAAACATGTAGAGGACATTCATATGTTGTTTGTGAACTCAACACTACAGGAAAATGGTCACTTCCATATGGATTATTTATGATTTTCCATTTCAGTAGGGGTAGGAGTGAAGGTGATACGATGCTGAGGTCTATAGACGAGTAAGTTTTGTTGGCAACGTTATAGTATGTTGGCTCTTTCCTATTCAACAAACAGGCACCGGAAGAGAAGAGAAATTGTTCAATGAGACAACCTCGTGCGTCACAGCAAGAATCCCCCCACAGTCCACTATGTGCATTTAGGTCCCCAAGAAGCAAATAAGGTTCAGGCAGTTCGTCTATTAAAGACTGG